GAGCTAACTCAGAAGAAGCTGACCCCCCTCATAATCAATCACACCCTCATTTAACATGAACATAATCTGCATCTAACTCAGAATACTCTCAAGTTTATTGTCTTAATTGTTTCTCTCAATCAATAACACTCTCATCTCACTAAGCTATTTTGTTTAGATCTCATTCTTAAGCATCATTTAAGATCTTGAGTTTGGATCATAAGTCAGCAACCTACTCTTAAAGATCCGTTAATCATCTCTGGGTATCATCCTCTTATACTTCATTTTAAGTAACCTTCTTACTTTTGTCATCTCAATTTTGCATCAATTTATTTATTTCAATCTTTTACTTATCAATAAGAATCTCTTATTCATCAAACTTTTATTGTAGAGAATTAAAATTAGTTTTTTATTTTTGAATGTTTTAATTATACTCTTTATTTTGAATGGCCAGCTTATTTTCAAATAATTGTAACTGCTACAATGCAGCTGTATATTTTTATTAGAATTATTTTTACCAATTCAAATCATTTTGTTAATAAATTTCCTTAAGTTTTTCATTTTCTAATTTAGCTTAACTTAATAAATCATTCAATCTATCTAATTCTTATTTATATTTTCTTAACTCATCAAGATCTTGAAGGAGAGAATCTTTTTTATTTTCTAAACCCTTTATAACACTAGCTGGCTAACTTCGTTTTTGATCTTCAGGTTGTGAGATGTCATCCTTTTGATTATCTGAAATCTATGGAATAGGTTATCCACTAGACATCCTAGAGCTCTAATTTGGTTTACTCAAAGTGTTTGGATTTTATGGTTTATTTAACAAGATATAAGGTTTTTGAGGCTTCTTATTTAAATTTTCTGGATTTTGATGGTTTTTTTTACCCTAATCATTAAGATTTTAAGGTTATTAAAATTGTTCTTCTTATTTAGGTTATTCAATAGGTTATTCTTAAGGATCAGTTTTAGGTTGAGTTTATTCAGATGGATCTTAAAGTTAAGGAGATTTTTATATTTCTTCTGGTTTTAAAGGTTCTTTCTCTTATTCATCTGGTTCTTATGGTGCATTGCATAATTCAAAGGGTTCAACTTAAGAATTATCTATAGGTGTAGATTATAAAACTTAGGCAGGAAGAGATTTATTACTCTAATGTGATGATCCCTTTTATTTTCGTATACTTAAAGGTTCTTGTGATTCTCTCTTTACTCTCACCTATGAAAATGGTTAAGAAGAGTTGCTATTAGATATTACTGGTTTTCTGACATTGTTTGGAGTCATGAATAATCCATAAGGATTTTATGAAATAGGATTTTAAATTTATCTGGTCTTATTTAGATCCTCTGGATTTTATGGAGAGGAATCATATGGATAAGCTAAAACATGTATGGGAGATCTATTTTATTCGCTTGGGTTTTGTGGATATGCTCCAAATTGAGTGGGAAGGTAAGGTTAGGATTATGAAATCAAATTGTAATTAATAATGTTTTATTATTGTTAAATGTAATGTTATTATGGATCTTGGTGTTGTTAAAGTGGTTGCAAATTTACAGATTGATATTATTTCAAATCTTAGAATCTGATAGTTTATGGTGCTTGTGGTTATGTTTAATAAGGCATATATTAAACAGATTAAGGTGAAACACTTCTTTATGTCTATTTAGGAATAGTGTTTTACAAATTTTATTATGGAATGATTCTTTAAATTGGAGAGTATTTATATTAAATTTGATGAGCTTGTTATGGCTAATTGAGAAATAGTGAAGCTTGTGGGATTAGTTACTATTAATATTAGACAGCATAAGGAGAAAGTTCCCTTTTAGTTTCAGCAGAAAATGATCGGTATTTAATAACATTATTAGGATCTTGTAACTGATTTTGAGGGAGTAATCTAGCTGTTTAAGGAATAAATTGTTATTAAGAGGGTTGAATTTTTTATTATGATAGATTAATTGGTTATTTCATGATAATGAATTGAGGAGGTGTGTAGTTCGGACTTGACGTTCTCTCATTTCCTTGAGTTTTCAAAATTTTATAAATTTTTCTTGGAGGAGTAGTTTGAGTTGGTAATTCTTATCTTTTAATTAATAACATATGATTCAAAAACTAAATTTGGGTTTCTATATTTTATATAGTAAGGATAGGTTGATTCTATATAATCTAAGTTTATCTTAATAATTCATTGAATTAAGCAGAATGATTTTATAAGGATTTTCTGGAATATCTTGGAGAATATTAGTTCTAGTGATAGACTAATTATGGAGGCGATCCTAAAAAGTGAATTGAACTTCCTGATCCAACTGATTGAGGCCTTTTTATTATTCTGTAGCTTAATAATGATGAATTTGTGAAGTCTGTTGGAAGGATTGATTAGAATTATTATTTATATCTTCGAGGTGTTTTGGTAGCCAAAAAATCGTGCAATATTGGAGCTGTACATTAGGAGTCTCCTCTGAGTGTTGCATACTACGGTTATGTTGTTTGGTTAGAGGGATGCGATTATATGTCTGCTAATCTTTTATTTAAATGTTCATTGTCGAATAATAGCAAATTCAATTTATCATTTAAAAATTTAAGCTGTTAAGTTAACCTTTAGTTTTCACGATATAAATTCACTTATTATGAACTATATTACCATTATAGCAATTCTCTTTCTTTTTAATCTAAAAGTTAATTAATGATGTTTAATTGAGGTGCATATTATACTATATGAGGTTAATGAGTTTTCAGTAAATTAATTTCTTCATTTTTTTCATGAATTAATTTAGCATACCATTATTCTAAGTCGTATAGCTTTTATCTCAAAGACGGAGCATCCTCAAACTATTGTTTTAAAAGTTAATTTTCTTTTTACAATTCTTAAATGTAAATTTCAGCATTTTTAAATTAAGTATTGATAACAAATAATTGTTAACTTATTAATAGATTCATCTCTTATTGAGACCTAAATAGTGATATATAATATTACTTTTCTTGCAAAATTTAAGAAATAAGGTCATTCTTCTATTGAATTTGCTAATTTAATTCAGTAATAGCTTATGCTTATTTAGCAATTTATTCCTTGTCTTAGAGCTCTAATAATTGTTTTTGATATAATTACCTCTATCAATCAAATCTTAGATTTTTTTTTCGTAATAATCCTTTTTGGATATTAAAATTTTATGTAATCTCTCAATCTCTGTAGCCATTAGAATAATATTCATCTTTAATTCTAAACTTTATTATAATTGTTAATTTTGTTCATTTTCAAACAGATTAGCTTGTGCCTCTACAGAACTTTGTTGTGGAGGTAACATAAATAAAATAATTAATAAAATTAAGTAAATTCATTTCAGTGGTTAAGAAGTTGGCATTAAATTGTCAAGTATAATAAATTTATTTATATATATATAAAAATCGAAGATATTTCACATAATTTGAACCAAGATGTTATTTTCCCAATGCCCAACTATTATTTATCCATTTATTAGTAAGATTCCATAACCATTAACCTTACCATCTTGAAAAGTTCTAATAAAATCATAATAAAATATACCCTTATAAAACAGCTCCATTCTAAAATACGAGATGACCTTTACCATGCATCATTTTATTTTTTCCTTCTCCATTATAAGACTTATAGATTTACATCAAATTGGATAAATCATTGGGATCCATAATGTTTTAATCCTAAACTATTGCATTCTGTAAAACTATTTTCTCAAAAATATCTTATTGAGACTTTTGTCGTTATTTTTACTTGTTCTAAGGAATTTCTTTAAGAATTGATCCACCAGAGTCAGTAGAATTTTTCTTTGAATGTTTTCCTTTCATAAGCATTAATAAACTAGAATTAACGTCTTCTTTTTCTTTTTGAGGACTTGACTAACTGCAAGTGATATTATCTTAACTAGGTCTTTTAGACTTTCTACTTTCATTTTCTTTAATCAATTGTCTTGATTTAATTAGACAACTCTCTAACATATTCAACAACTTTGTCTTATCACAACCTGCCTTCTCTTAAATGATACTCTCTTCTTCACTTTCTTCAGGAATTGGTTATATTTAAGGAAGAATTTGCTGTTATTACGTATCTTATATTCGAATGTTCTGTTCAATTATATTTTCCCAAGTTCTTTCCTATGGATCTATAGTGAGCATGATTTAGACCAAAGTTATTAATTCTTATGAATAGTATTCTTTGGCTGCATCAAAATTATCTTAGAGTAATTAGTAATCAATGTATAATTTATTATTGTCATCTATAAAGTAAAAGTCATAACCAGATTTTAAGGTCATAGCTTCCAGAAACACTATTCCTAATGCCCAAATATCTGCTTCAATTGTTTCATATTTCTATTTCCATCCCTCAAATTCATTAATTATTTCAGGTGACCAATAGCCGTACTCCTCATTATCTGGAA